TATTCCCATGCACTGGAAGCTAACATGAGTTATGGATAAAATAAAGCAGCTGTGAGCAAAAGGAGTGTGGAGGCATTTAAACTCGTACAGATGGGCATCCAAATAAAGCACTTGGTGTCTACCCATCAGTCCTACCACCAGTGCTCCCTAAGGACCCATTCACACCACATCCAGCTCATCTCCAGACCAGATTGTTTCCGGACCCAAAATGCATCTAAATGTATCCCTATGCTATTTCTGGCCTCTGTTGACACCAGCGCAGTCCGTTCCAGATCAGAAAAATACTGCATGTCTCATTTTGTCTGGTCTGGAATGCACTGGAACTGCGGCAGGTTCACACCATTTTCCAGACCACATCTGGCCTTGAAAATGGTGTGAACCTGCCCTAAAGCCAAATGGCTTCTTATGTGTGGTGAATTTTCCTAAATGTAGGAGAATATGGCTAGCAGCATCCATTGGGGCTTGTGGTGTCATTTTCATTCATTGGTATTTCATCAAATGTCAGGACTCCACCTGCTTGTTGCATCATATTGTAGGAGCTTCTGAAACCACAACATTTATTTCTATAGCACTGACAATTTACTCAGTGCTTAACATAGTACACATTCTCATCCATCCCTGCTCTCAAGGAGTTTACAATCTAAGGTCCCTTTCGCACATGCATACATACAGGGTCAATTTCACAGAAGCCAAAGCCTACTAGCACAGCTTTGGAGTGTGGGAGGAAACTGGAGTACCCGAGGGAAACCCACGCAAGCACAGGGAGAACAATGAAACTCCCTGTAGATAGTGACCTGACCAGGATTTGAACCAGGGACCCTCAGTGCTGCAAGGAAGAAGTGCTAACCACTAAGCCATTGTGCCCGGCATGCTGAAAATGTGGTCAAGTCAAGAGACCTGTAAGAGAGTCCAAAGCTGGCTATATACCAGTAGATTAATTTTTTTTTAGAATTCATTTTTGGAATGTTTGTTCGATTATTTTTTCTTTAATAGTTAATCAGGTTAAATTAACAATTGATTTTGGAGCGCGGCGATGAAGAAAAATCAAAGGGGCAGAAAAGAGCATTCATTTCCAAAATAGAATGTTAAATCAAACGAGATTTCAAACACGTTCTACAATTCTCTGATGGCATTATCCAATATTCTGGTGAGATTATGCATTGATAGTTCATTTGAAAATCCAACTGTATGGCCAACTTTAGAAGAGGTTATGCTTTTCACTTCAGGACAGGCTGATCACTGAGATCACAAACTGTGTTATCACTGACATCACAAACTGTGTGATCACTGACATTTCAAACTGTGTGATCACTGACATTTCAAACTGTGTGATCACTGACATTTCAAACTGTGTGATCACTGACATTTCAAACTGTGTGATCACTGACATTTCAAACTGTGTGATCACTGACATTTCAAACTGTGTGCTCACTGACATCACAAACTGTGTGCTCACTGACATCACAAACTGTGTGCTCACTGACATCACAAACTGTGTGCTCACTGACATCACAAACTGTGTGCTCACTGACATCACAAACTGTGTGCTCACTGACATTACAAACTGTGTGATCACTGACATTACTGCTGCACAAGCAGTCCAGACTGTGAGCAGTGCTCAGTGTACCCGCAAAGCCAAGGAAGAGCTCGGATTATATCATTGATAACTTGATCTGTGTTCCTTCAGATGTATGACACTGAATATACAGCTACAAATAGTTTGTGACCCTCAACCAGAGCATGCACTAAAACATACTGGTCAGTCTCTTTAGGTAACTATCCAAATAAAAGTAAAATATACATTTGAACAAAGTATTTAATACAAAAATCTGATTTAAAGGGAATTTCATGAATAAAACCACGTGCCACTAAATGAGTTGGACTTCTTTGTGTAATTAAATGGCACGCGTATGACTCTCACAGCACTTTTATACACTACATTAAGACACTTATCTCTCAGGTTTTTAAATGTCTCTATCCTGTTGGCTTTTACAAGCTGCATGGAATAGCCACAGTACAAGATTTCTCCAGCAGGTGGCAGTATCTAGGGAGTTTTTAATTGCAGCTCTTCTTTCTAAAAGCTGTTCACATGTCTTTCTGTATTGTATGATGGAGAGGTTCAGCCAAAGCTTTATTCTGCTAACACCTTTACAAAGAATAGGTTTTTAATTGCACAAGTTGCATCACCAGTCCCATTCTGTAATTGTGTATCTAGAAGAAAACATGGCTACCTACACACATCTAGCAGACATCTCGTATATGAAAGCATTTTGCCCTGCTAGTGCTACTGTTATGTCTTCTGTACAGAAATATTTCATAAAGTTGCCGTCATCCAGGTGTGTTCATGAGATTGTGAACAGTATTCCATTTTAGCCCACTGCCTGGTCTCTCACACTTTATCTCCTTTAGCAGAAATTCTCTAGCTCTATGGGTAGACAAACTTCAGCCCTCCAGCTGTTGTAAAACTACAAATCCCATCATGCTGGAAGTCCTGCCCTTGGCTGTCAGTCTTGCAATGCCTTATGGGTAGGGTGCACCGATACCGGATACCGTTTTGTCTGTATCGAGTACTGATATTTATCTTTCGGTTCTCGCCGATACCGAAACCAGAAGTCTGAGTACCGGTACTTCCGCTAGCATGGAGCCGGGTTTCCGGTCAATTGGGAAGCTGAGTGGAGTGTCATTACCTGCCACCCGACTTCTAGATTGCCAGGAAGCGGGCTTCCCAGTTAATCCGCATTGAGCCAGCTTCCTGATTGGCTGGGAAGCTGGAAGCTGGCTCCATGCTGATTGGCAGGCTCCATGCTGATTGGCTGGGAAGCTAGCTCCATGTTCCCTCGTGGCACTACCGGTCAGAGGAAATCTTCCTCTGCCCGGACGTTCCTGTGTCAGGGGTAAGTATCGGAGCACTCGCACTCTCCCAAATACTCTATTGACATTGACACTAGTATCAGTATATCCCTACTTATGGGACTCCACAACAGCTGGAGGGCTGAGGTTAGGCTACCCCTGATCTAAATGGTCAGATACAGTTAACGTTTTGCCATGTCATTTGCTAAAGCTACAGTTTTTTTGTCATTTGGCCAAAGTTTGATGGAGAGATGACTTGGCTGTCAGATTATTGGTTTGTTGTGTTCATCATCACCTCCATTGACTAAACCCCTCATGTGCATGTTCTGTGACTATCATAAGGAGCCTCTGGTTACACAAATGCTATAACATGAAAAGTAGACTTTGTTCTCATGCCGTAGTGTAGTCTCCTCTCTGGACTGGTTCAGCTTTGTGAATTTCCTGTTTCCTGGCAAGCTGTCAGAGCGTAAACATATTGGGGTCATTTGTAGTGTGAAGACCTTGGCAGCCCAGCAGGGGTCACATAACTGGACAAGTACTTAACAAATTTAGAAGTCATTAAAGCCTTAATTGCATTACAGTTTAACTCACCTTGTATAGAATTTGTAAAAGAACATTGGAGGCGTGTGAAAATACTCTCCCTACAGCCAACAAGATAATCTGATGAGATAAAATGTGTACACACAAATACTGATACAGTCTACCTAATGGCAGCCATAAAGAGAGAGGATTGTGAACTTATCCAGCTGGCTAGGGCAGAACTAGATGAAGATTTCCATGTCTGAGGACAACAGATATCTGCAGCTGATTGATCTCAAACACAGTTGGACATTTTCCCCATTTGCCGTCTTCTTCAGAGTTTGCTGGATTTCTATGGCTAGCCAGCTATGTTCGGCTTCTGGCCGATTTAGAATAACATGTCTGATTCTGTGCGGCCATACTTGTGACTGCAACAGTACATGGCTAGGTAATTGTTCTATTCCTGAGTTCAGCCCTCTGTGCCCGAAATGTGAGCGCACATTTCCATTTTCATCCCAAAGTCTGATGTGCAGAGAATTCATGTTCACATAGGAAGAGATATTAGATAATTATATTAGTAGTATTCTAAAACACAGAGGGGGCTATTCATATATAAAAAAAGAGAATAGGAGGGGTTCCATGAAAGTGGAGAAATTACCCATAGTGGCCAACCAATCAGGAATTCAGTTGGTCACTATACAAGTTCTCTATGCTGAGCAGAACGTTATATGCAGATTTTATAAACATGCAATATAGTGGTTTTTAATTCATCCATAACCAGACTATAGGGCAGGGGTAGCCAAATGTCGGCCCTGCAGCTGTGGTGAGACTATAAACATCATCATGCATCAAGCATTTGGATGTCATATCTGTGGCTGTCTGCTGAGTCTTGCAATGTCTTATGGGGCTTGTAGATCTGCAACAGCTGGAGGGCCGGAGTTTGGATGCTCTCCTGCTATAGGGGATTCTTTTCTCTTAGATTCTATACTGGTTTGTTCTAAAGAAAGGTGTGTCACGATTTGAGTGCATCTAAATCATTGAATATATTGCAGTTTATCAATCCAAAGATGCAGCGGCTGCTTTAGTTTCTTTTTTCAGATGGAAATAGGGACAGCGGCACTCCAGATGCAGATCAAAAGCATCTACTTATTGACGTAAATGCAGCATATCACACTGGTGCAACGTTTGGGGGTCTCGCAGGATCACGTTCTGACTGAGGACGTGGATCCTGTGAGACCCCAAAACTTTGCACTAGTTTGATATACTGCATTTATGTCAATAAATAGACGCATTTGATCTGCATCTAGAGTGCCGGTGTCCCTATTTCTATCTGTATACATGACGGTTGCCATCCATTGACCACCGCTGCACCCATCCAATTCAATCTGATTGGATGCGGACATTGTTCAGGTGTTTTTAGAGTCAGCGGGGCCGACTAGTAAGATACTGAAGCTTGGCCCAGCGGGAGATTCCTCCATCCACACAGTTTAGCGTAGATGGAGGAATCTGTTGCACCTTTTCCATCTGACCATGGAAACTCTGCAGATAATCTATAGGTGTATGACCAGCTTAAGCAAAGGTTGGAGTTTATATACAATTTAACATTCAGCTGTGTTTTCTTTTTTCTATAGGCCTTATACGAGAACATGTTGGTAGAGCTGCCTTTTGCCAGTTTCTTCCTATCCAAGTTGCTGGGGACAAGTGCTGATGTAGACATTCACCATCTGGCCTCTCTGGATCCTGAGATGTACAAGAACTTACTTTTCTTGAAGAGCTATGAAGGCGATGTAGAAGAACTGGGGTTAAATTTTACCGTGGTCAATAATGACCTGGGAGAAGCACAGGTAAGTTCCCACCACAGCCAGCTAATCATTCATTCCATTGTCACATTCATATTATTTGGGATCTAGATAAGAGAGCGTGCAATGGAACTGTTTGAGTTGTTGTTATTGGTTTTGTCCTATATATGTTTGGAATGAGGAAAGTGTGTAATGATCTAAACCAGATAGAGTGACAATTATCACCCTGATGAATTGTCTTATTAGCCGTCAAAGTGTTAAGTGGCGCTTTCACACGCCCAGCCGCTGCCCTAGCCTTATCTAGTCTATTTTCTTTTTTTGTTTCCTTGGAGTCTTTGAATTTTATGAATCTCTTTCTTGGACGAGCATTGTATATATCAAGATTTTCTGCCTGGGTGACCTAAACCTTCCAATAATTACAGTGAAGAGATACCGTAAAGATTAGACATTATCTTAAAATTGCTTCTGGCATTAAGCAGCCCTTTCTGTATTCAATTTGTATTTAGCTAGGTAATAATAAAGCAATAATCCCGGATGCCGAGGGCATTAACGGACAGTTAAAACTTTTACTGAGGACGACGGAATTCTAATGCGCAAGTCGTTAATCCAGAATTGTTCTGTGGCCAAAATAGATTATAGCTGTTTTGTATTGTACTATCCACTTTTTTTTTTTGCTTGTGGCAGCAATGGCTTCTGGTTAGAAACAAATGGCAACCGCACAATTTATGACTAGTCTTTGTAGCAAGATGCACATGGAGGGGCTTACTGCAATTCAAAACACAGACGCTTCCCAGCACACTCACTGGCTAGCCTACAACAAAACAAATGACACTGTCTAACAGTATGCGGTAAAAACAGAGGTTTTAGTTGCACATCTTGCACAAAGTATGTGGAAACTGCACTGCCTCGCCAAGGCTCTTCTGCGTAGTGTGGTCCTAACTCTCATTTTTGTGAGTCTCCATATTGGAGCATTTTTCAGCAGTTGAATGCAGGTTTGCCTGGAGGGAGCCCACTCCTCCTTAAAGGCACATGGACGCACTCAGCATGCATTATGGACTGCTGGGCCTCCGGTGCATCCCTGTGCCTTTAGGGCATACCTGCATCCAATTTATCTACTGCTAAAATATGCTCCAATATGGAAGCTCCTAAAAATTAGAGTTAGGACCACACTACGCAGAGGAGCCTTGGTGAGGCAGTGGGGGGTCCACATATTTTGCACAAGATCTGCAACTAAAACCTCTGTTTTTAATGCATAGTGTTAGACAGTGCAATTTGTTTTGTTGCAGGCTAGCTGGTAAGTGTGCTGGGAAACTTCTGTGTTTTGCATAGCAATGGCATCTGTACACATCTTTTATCAAGCACATGAATAGGATAACAGAACATGCCAACTGGAGCTGAGAATGTTACTTCAGTGTTTGGTGGATGCCAGTGGGCATTATCATCCACTAAGATTGGATCTCTCCGAGACTCCAGCGGGGAGTTCTGGCAAGTTTAATCACATTCTGGCTTCCTACTACCTATAGCCCTGGTGCCAACTCGCTGCATGAGGACCGCATTGGCACAAACGGTGCATCTCTTGGGCCCCAGCAGTGGGAGCTGATTTGTAATGGTGCTGCAATGGCAGTGATCTCAAGCATTCCTGTGTATCATGTCCCCAGTGTGTCCTCAGTATGTCCCCAGTGTCTAGCTGTCTCCTGCAGCATTCCGCCAGGGTGTAACCACACCTGCAGAATGTCCTCACGTTCTAACCATCTACAGCAGTATTGTCTGGCAGTCTTCTGTGGCACTACATATATTAAATATTATGTCCGGTCCTTTGGGGATGCCAGGGTCTGCAGTTGGGCACCCCTCTATCTTGTAAGTTGTAAACCATTGACCTAGAGTCTTACCTTCTTCTCCTCCCCACCAGGATTCCCAGCGCTACCTAACTATATATAACTGTAATTACGTAATCTTCAGCAGCCTCATGTAACATGTTCCCAGTCTGTCTCCTGCACCATTCGTTCAGGCTATAATCACACCTGTAACATATCCCTAGTCTCTGCCTATCTGCAGCGGTATGTTAGTAGTCTCAAACAATCTTCTGTAGCACTACATGTACTGAATGTTAGTTTAGGCCCCCTCTATCTTGAAAGTTGACCACCACTGACCTAAAGACTCGACTTCCTGTCTCCACCAGCATTTTCAGATCCTCCTAACTAAGGCAGTGAATACATGGTTAGAAAATTATTATTATTATACAGGATTTATATAGCGCCAACAGTTTGCACATTACAATATAAGGAAGGCATTACAAGTACAATACAATTCAAGACAAGATGGTAAGGAGGGCCCTGCCCCTGGGAGCTTACAATCTAAAAGGAGGGGCAAGTGAAAATGGCATCACATTCCCCTATAAATGTCTCATTAGAAAATCCAGCTGTGAGAGAGTCCCATCTTCATTATGTCCTTCTGGGAGGGGAAAACACAATAAAAATCCGAATTTTACTGTTGAGCTACAGATTGATATACTGTATGTTCTCTGCCTGCCGTGGGAAGCACTGCTCTGAAAAATATTTTATAGCAGCTCTGCAAAATTCCTGTAAGTCGAATGTTCTTGAGCTTTGAATCAAGCAGCTCATAGACATTAGAGGACAGTTAGATGTGCAGAAAGAACCCAAGTTCCCCAAGACAAATTTCATGCAGAGCACTGCGGCATGCCACCTAAAGATGGCCTGTCTGAGTACACACATGTGAATAGAATAAATAGGGTTTTAGGAGCAGGCAGATGCTGCCGACGGCACTTATAATGGAAAAGTAGCAATTGGCCAAACTTTATAACATGTCAGATTGTTTCTCCGGAAAGGTGAGCTGGCAAGCTCCTGGTGCAGCCCTACACATTAGATTATCACCCTGCTCAACCCAAAATGGTTCCACTCAAAGACTGCTGTGTGTGGACAGCTCCAAAGTATTTAGCACGAGAACTTCACAGAACCGATTCGGCTTCCTTTTGCAAACTCCTGTAGAGTGCTGCAGTGGTTGCTGAAGGGTGCCATCTAGTGTTGGAATGTAAAGCCTGCAGCTCTTTGTACGGCTGTGTACACACCCAGATGATGACAATGAGTTATATAGGTTGCTCTGCCTTACAAGTGATATAGTCTGTAGCAAAGCTAGTCCAAACCTAAAAAGCGTTTCATGTGACCTGGTAATTTTGTAAGTCCTAGGTACTATAGGCTAGAAGTCCAAGGCTGCTATAAATGTGACACTATCTTAGTCAATAAAAGATATTGACTTTGCATCAAGTTGGAGTGCGAGTGACCATTTATCGATCTGGTAATTTTGTGTGACAGTAGTGAGTGTCTAATCAAGGTCTAATAGAATTGTTTGTCTGATGCAGCCAATAGACCCATTGTATAAGAGTATGAATTCCAAGTACTGGAGAGGAGTCCTTCTATCCACTGATATGATTCAAACCTGCCCTGACAGTATACATAAGACTGGTGGCCGATGGAGATTCTCTAGTTCGTAGTTCTGATGCTACAATAAATCATTACTCTTTCTGATCAGGTGGTGGAACTGAAGCTAGGAGGGAAAGATATCCCCGTAACAAGTGCCAATAGAATTGCCTACATCCATCTTGTAGCGGACTACCGTCTAAATAAGCAGATCCGTCAGCACTGCATGGCTTTCCGGCAAGGACTGGCCAACGTGGTGAATTTGGAATGGCTCAGGATGTTTGATCAGCAAGAAATCCAGGTATGTCATTCATTCGCGACTTCTTTACATACTGATGAATATTAATATAGTTTAAAAACCACATAAGTGACATAAGAAGGAGTGATATAAGTGCAGATGTCTAGGCCAATAGATTTTCTTCCCACGCGTCATTAATGACGCAGACTACACGCGGATACATTTTTATTTTAAAAGCAATCAAAATGTTCAGCCGTACTTGGGGGTATTTTATGCAAAACATGCCACACACCTCTGCTGCTTGTTTGATTTGAATGGTTTCCATTCAACAAATTGTTTATAATAATTATATCCCATACACCGGAAACCATGGGAACATATTTACCTTTCTGATTTGATTTTTTGAGGCTCAAACAAAAAAGTAAGCAAAGTGGTAAAAAAAAATGTCTACATACCGTTTTTCGTAGATCCAGTTGGAATGTTGAAATGAATTATTCAACCTTAAAGTGCATGGGCACCTTTATATTGGTGGGAAGCCAGCTTTCCAGCCAATCAGTGTGGAGCCGGCTTCCTGGCCAATCAGGAAATCAGGAGGCGGGTCATTATTCACTGGCTTGATGCTGATCGCTGGCTTGATGCTGATTGGCTGGGAAGCCGATTTCCCTCCCATCACAATACAGCCGGCAAAACAACATGGAGTCGACTTCTCGAGCAATCAGGAAGCTGGGCGGCATGTCATTACCTGCCCCCTGGCTTCCTGATTGCCCAGGGAGCCAGCTCCATGCCAGGGGAAGCACCGGTATCGGGCGAGTACTGAAAGCAAAACATTGGTAATCATACTCGATACTGAAAAACCGGTATTGGTGTATCTCTAAATAGAATTTTAAAAAGTGGGTAGATAAGAGGGATGCAGAAATATAAAAAAGGGCCAAATTATGTAATGACAACACACAGCAATAAATATAAAAATGATTTGTCCGGAGCATTTTCTTTCATACATATATTGTATAAAAACATTGAGGGGAATTTATCAAAACTGGAGCAGACAGAATCTGGAGCGGTTGCACATGGCAACCAATCAGCTTCTATCTTTTATTTTCAAAGATTACTGAACAAACTGAACAGATTCGCTGATTACTATGGGCAACTGCCCCAGATTCTGTCTGCTCCTTTTTTGATCAATTCCCCCCATTGGGTGTTGGGTATGCATTCGTCTAACAGTTTTGTCTCTGCTTATTTCTCTGCTGAATCTAGGTGTTAATTTCAGGGGCACAAGTACCAATCTGTCTTGATGACTTGAAGTCCTTCACAAACTATTCAGGTATGTATATCCGTCATAAGGTGAACAAATCTTTGGTAAAACAGAACCCTGATCTCTAGTATGCACTCAATATATTAGGAAGCACAAAACACCAGTCACATCATCCATCTACTATGTGTGAAATATTTGCATCTGAGCCTCTTATTGCAGTCTTCTTCCTCTCCCCTCATTTAAGGGAATCCTTCAGGTTCATTCACACCATTCCTCCCCCCGAATGAAAAGAATCCTTCAGGTCCATTCACACCATTGCGCTGTGGTAACTTGCTCAATGGCACCTTAGGTTGTAGCACAGTGCAGGAAATGCCTGCATGACTTTTGGTGCATTGAAGTGCGTTGATCCTAACACAAGATATGTGTGGGTGTAGCGCAGTGCACTGTGGCAGACTGGGCTATTGTCAGTGGGCCCTTACTGTCTCAGCATAAGACAAGAACGTAGCCTATGACTAAAGCAAGATGTGAGTTTATGATATGTCATAGGTCCAGGGCTGCTCTTGAGTATTAAAGGCCTCCCACTAATGGTGGTGAACAGCAGATCATGGGGGCCTAGATGCTTCCCCAGATGTCTGAGTTCCTCTTGAGATCTCTCAGCAGGAAGGAACTGTCCAAAATGTATTAGTTTCTTCTAATGGAGAATATAATTAACATATACTCATTCTAGATAGAGTGAGGAGTGGTTAGAACCTCTCTGCCAAGTTTTTATTGCTGTCATCATTCCTGGGGAGATTCACCTTCTGTATTTGGCCTGTATTTCTGTCAAACAGAAAATGATGGAGAATCCGATAACAGTTGTCACCAGGACAGGTGGTGAGGGAAAATGTTCAAAGGAGACGACTGTCTAAAGACAGATTACCCCATTACATTGCCTCTCACTGTCCTTGTCTCCCCAGGACAGAAAGTGAAAGGAATCCCTAATGGGACACTGACGGCAGACCAGAGTTTTAACAAACCCAGTTCTCTATCTGCAGAAGAAGTTTCAGCTTTAGATATAATTAAAGTACGCTTGTCAGAATAGAGATATTGGGGCTGCCATTGATGACTTGGTTTTAGGGTGAAGGGTCTGGGGCTATCGTCCTACTTGCCTCGCTACTTTACATTTTTGGCCTGGAACAAGCATGTGCAGATCAAGTGTCCTGGCACCCAATATACAAATCCTTTAATTTCTAATGGATACAAATGTGTTCTAGTGATGTGATAAGGAACCTTCTTATATTTCTGATCTCCATGACTGGATAGGACAGTTTGCATCACCAACCCTAATATCCCCTTCTCTAATCAACACGTAACTATTATCTAATAAAGTGGATGTTTAAGCTTCATAAAGGGCCAGTTGGACTACACTATCAGATGTATTAGAAACACCCATAAATCTGTTACAGCCGTAAAAAAGTTGACACATATAGAAATTTATAATGACAATAGTCTGACTTGCAAAATAATCTTTCAGTATCTTGTGCATTCAAAGGGGTAGTAACAATTGTACCCAGAAAATGACCCATCTCTCCGTGAACCTGTTTCTATTTGCACTGTATGTTTCCTGCCTTCCAGCGGCAGACAGTTGTCTGTACCACAACGCTGCGTGATTTCCTTTTCTGCAGTTCTCATTCTTTTGTACAATGTTGTGCTTTATTCTAGGAGGATACTCCGCTGATCACCCCGTAATTAAAATTTTCTGGAGAGTTGTTGAAAACTTTACAGATGAGGAAAAGCGAAAACTACTGAAATTTGTGACGAGTTGCTCTCGCCCCCCGTTATTAGGTTTTAAAGTAAGTTTTGCTTTAGCAACGTCACAGCTGATTGTTACTACCCCTACCAGTATATGTGGCGGGTGTCTAAACATTGCTCCTCCTGCCTCTTCCTAAACATGTCAATCTGAACATGCATGTTTGTGTATAGAACGATCTTTTGCTGCATGGTTCAACCAGCAGATACTGGTAGCTTTAAAGACAAGGGTTCCATATGTACTGAGAATAACTAAAACACTGGCTTCATATGTACTAACAATAAATGAAACTCTAGGCTCATATGTGGGCACAATATACTGCAGAAGGTTTCTGAGAGTTGATTTCTAATTGTTAGTTTGGGAACATATTTATCAAGTCCAATAATTACCCTCCCTATCAAACCTTATTAGAAAGCCACTTTCAGGAACGTATTCTGCAGTATATTGTTACCATTTAGTGATAAACAGCAGTGTGCATTGCAGTGTAATGGTCAGGAAACAATCAGGTCTGTGGGCACTCCTTGATCTCCCCGGATATCCCTTGGCCAACCCTTCTTAGTCTTTCCTCCATCGCACATACAAATAGCTGAGTTTACATGTGTATGGAAAGTTTTGCCATTTTGCCACCTATGGGCATCTTTAGACTTTGCATACATGGGCAGAGTGCTGGGCACTGACTAATGTGAGCTGCAAATATCCCTTTACTTGCGCGTCACCCGGCCGGATCGGTCTTTCACGCTGGGACGCGGTCGGGTGAGGACGCACTGGGACACCGGGCGTTCGGGTACTGTAGGAGGGTCGTCTGCCTGCGGGTCTGTTGCTACGGGCAACTGCGGCAAAAGGCCTCGGGACGGGGGTGGTGCCTGCCGGGGTCTCTTTCCTTGCCTGGGGCTGTGGTTTGGCATATATTTGCCGGGGACATGGATTGTGGGGTGTGCTCTCAGTGTTGCAGGAATCTCCCTTTGAGCCTCTGCGGTACATTCCGATTCTGATTCTCTCACAAAAAGTGGCCTTTTTGGTGGCGGTGACCTCGATCCGCAGGGTTTCGGAATTGGCGGCTCTCTCTTGCTCGTCCCCGTTGCTGGTCCTGCATCGGGGCAAGGTAGTTCTGCGGCCTCGGCCGTCTTTTTTGCCAAAGGTGGTTTCGGCTTTCCATCTCAATGAGGACATTGTCCTGCCTTCCTTGTGTCCGCAGCCTGTCCACAGGAAGGAGAAGGCGCTGCACTGTCTGGATGTGGTCCGCGCCATCCGTGTTTATCTGAGTGCTACGGCTGCGTTTCGGGAATCGGATTCCCTGTTTGTCGTTGCAGATGGCCCTCGGAAGGGCCGGGCTGCCTCGTCGGCTACCATCTCTCGATGGATTCGCGACACGGTCTCTCAGGCGTATGCTATTAAGGGGCGTGAGCCTCCTTTTTCTGTTACGGCCCATTCTACAAGGGCTGTTGGGGCATCTTGGGCTTTTCGTCATGGTGCCTCCGTTTCTCAGGTTTGTAAGGCCGCGACTTGGTCTTCTGTTCACACCTTTGCCAAGTTTTATAAGGTGGATGTTTTGGCATCTGCGGATGCTGGTTTGGGGCGCAAAGTGTTGCAGGCGGCCGTTTGAGGGGATTTTTTTGTTTAATTGGGTTTGTTGTTTCTGTTGGCCCACCCCTCTTTTTTGGTACTGCTCTGTGACGACCCTACAGTACATGATCTCCGATCTGTTCCCTGTGTCCTTCAATGAACGGAGAGAAAAGGATTTTACGGTGAGTACTAAAATCCTATTTTTAGGATTGTAAGATTAGACACCGATCGAACAGCCTTAGGGCAAGGTTTCACAATAAAGGGACCACTTTTTTTTTTCTTTTCATAAATTTTTTTATTATTTTCAATATAGCTTACAATGGTAGTACATAGCAAATTGTATAGAAGAGTATATAGGTGTCCACAGTACACCATCACAACACAGTATGTGCTAATGCATAACCATTTTAGGTATATTCTTAGTCTAGGGACTTATGTAGAGGGGAAGCCACCCATTTCCACTACAAGACATGAAATTAAAACCGGTGCCATTCTAACAATATAAACAGGTAAAGATGAGGGCAAGGGGAAATATAACTGGCCTGATTTGTTCCTCTGACAGTGGGCAACTGGCCAAGCTGGGGGTACCGTTATCCATGCTCATACAGACTGCCAAGGACCCATATGAAATTCATCTTCAACTCGGCTGTGCCTGAGCTGAAAAGGCAAACTGGACTGATCACTAGGAAATCACACAGATATGTATTTTACAATGAGGAGCACTTCATTTATGGCTGAATTGGTGCAATTTATTCTTAGATTGCTTCACTTGCAAATATTTGGTTGCGTATTGCTGGCCTGATGAGCTAAACACTTGGCAAGAAAAAGAGATTAACTGTAAACACATCAAATAAATCAACAAATAAAATCTAAGGCCCCTTTCACACGGCCGGTCCCATCAGGTGCGCCTGTCAGAGATCCCTTTCAATGTGCTGGATCGGGGAAATCCCCATAGACCGACATGGAGTCCAGTAATTGCAGTTTTTGACATTCGCTCCGTATCCTCTCCTGATCAGCCCATGTGAAAGGGGCCTAAAATTATGGGTGATTTATTTTGGGAAAGTTCTGTAACTAAACATTTGCCTTCAGTCATGCACAGGGTGTGTGTAACTTACATAAAAGGATCTTTGTTGTATAGGGCGAAAACATTACTAAACATAGGACCGGGGGGAGGGTTCTGCTAGTTCATGACCTTTTACATTAAAAGACAATTTGAGGGCTAGTTGTACTACCATCAGAGGGAGAACTTGGCATTCACCCAAGATAAATAAATGTGAATAGACCAAAACAAATTCACCAAAGATCTATAGGAAGTATTGAGAATGAACATGAAAGCGCTCACTAGCGGACGATTAGTGAATCATTAGACTGTCCTTTCAATGAGGGGTGTGGAGGAGGTGGACTTGTGTATACGCTGAATAAATACTGAAGTGAGAATATTTGTTTTGTCCCAATACATAATGGAGCTTGTATTTGTCACAATAGTTTGAAATAAGTTCTGATTGATGTCAAAAAGTTATCTATGAATAACCTCACACCCCTATCAATGAAAGCCAGGCCAAACCGAGGTCACAATTTGGAAAAGCCACGTAAAGACTAAAGATTGATCTTCAGTATGAATGCACGCTGCAGTTTACACAAGGAACATTTCATGTAGACTGCTGGCATGTAAAATAGTCATTATTTTCCAATATACATTGTACCGGTAACAAATATTCCACCAAGGAGTGGCCTTTTTCATTGTAGACATGTCACCGGGCTGCATTAATAGAGTGACAGACATATTTGTATCATGCTTTCCCGATACTAGCAATGAAAACATTGTGCATTAGCTGGTTATAAGTTAGACATTCACACAGAACCACATATTTTGGTTTCGGTGGTAAGTTATGAAGGTAACTTAACCTTTACTGTACCAACTTGTAGATCCAGTACTCAGAAGTCTGTTCAATTTCCTGTCATCAGTGTTGCCAACCAGGACTGGATGTTTTAAATAAAGCTGAATGAGTTGCAAAGATCTTGCCTAGTAAAGCAGCCCATTATATATAATAACGGTAAATGTTACCCCTATAGTGTTCCTGTAAGTTATATACTGCACACCACTGTCCCTGCCATTGAAGACTTTTGACCAGTGCTCTACAGTATAGTTACTTTTTGCTGCCCTTCAGTCTTATGTGCTTTTTGTCCTGATGACCATGTACCCCTCCCCTTGCATTTCCCAGATTTATGTGGCACATTACCCCACCTCACCTCAACCAACCATATCCCAGATATATGTGGCACATTACCTCTCCTTACCCCAACCAACCATATTCCAGATATATGTGGCACATTACCCCTCCTCACCCCAACCAACCATATTCCAGATATATGTGGCACATTACCCCACCTCACCCCAACCAACCATATTCCAGATATATGTGGCACGTTACCCCACCTCACCCCAACCAACCATATCCCAGATATATGTGGCACATTACCCCTCCTCCCCCCACCCATTCATATCCCAGATATATATGGCACATTACCCCTCCTCCCCCCACCCATTCATATCCCAGATATATATGGCACATTACCCCTCCTCCCCCCACCCATTCATATCCCAGATATATATGGCACATTACCCCTCCTCCCCCCACCCATTCATATCCCAGATATATATGGCACATTACCCCTCCTCCCCCCACCCATTCATATCCCAGATATATATGGCACATTACCCCTCCTCCCCCCACCCATTCATATCCCAGATATATATGGCACATTACCCCTCCTCCCCCCACCCATTCATATCCCAGATATATATGGCACATTACCCCTCCTCCCCCCACCCATTCATATCCCAGATATATATGGCACATTACCCCTCCTCCCCCCACCCATTCATATCCCAGATATATATGGCACATTACCCCTCCTCCCCCCACCCATTCATATCCCAGATATATATGGCACATTACCCCTCCTCCCCCCACCCATTCATATCCCAGATATATATGGCACATTACCCCTCCTCCCCCCACCCATTCATATCCCAGATATATATGGCACATTACCCCTCCTCCCCCCACCCATTCATATCCCAGATATATATGGCACATTACCCCTCCTCCCCCCACCCATTCATATCCCAGATATATATGGCACATTACCCCTCCTCCCCCCACCCATTCATATCCCAGATATATATGGCACATTACCCCTCCTCCCCCCACCCATTCATATCCCAGATATATATGGCACATTACCCCTCCTCCCCCCACCCATTCATATCCCAGATATATATGGCACATTACCCCTCCTCCCCCCACCCATTCATATCCCAGATATATATGGCACATTACCCCTCCTCCCCCCACCCATTCATATCCCAGATATATATGGCACATTACCCCTCCTCCCCCCACCCATTCATATCCCAGATATATATGGCACATTACCCCTCCTCCCCCCACCCATTCATATCCCAGATATATATGG